CCTCGTGCAAACCTTGTCATATTCTCTGGATATTTCATTGGTCGATGAGACAAATACGTCGTCCTCTTCCCTTGTTTTTTTCTTTTTCTTTAAGGTTGCCAGAAAATGAAGATCACTAGAGAGCTCGAAATAGTCCAAAAGGGGGGCTCATGATCAAGTTTCTGGTGAAGATCACTATGCTTTATCCTTTATGACATCTTCAACTGGGTTGGCTAGATACGTCAAGCTGGTCTCGAGGTGCTGTCATATTCTCCAGATTCGAGTGGTATATTGATTGGCCAATTATTCTGAATTAGTTCATTAGAAATGACCCTTTTGCATTAGCAGCAAACAAATAGAGAGAAGAGTTCAAACGTTGTGGGTCTCTATCTTTCCCTCCTTTTGTTTTCTTGTTTCTTTGTGAATTTTGTGATACTTTCTATCGATTTGCAGTTGGACTCAACAAGCAATGGTCATCTAATACAATCTTTTGCGCTTAAGGTAATTGCTTGTTGTCCTTTCGGGCACGTATGTGTATTTAATTAGCAAGAAAGAGAATAACAAAAACCCTGGTAATGGCTTAATCAATGGCTAGGAATGGACAAGTATATGTTTCTTCTGTTTTTCATGGAGAATTTTTCATTCGGGTTGTCCACCTGAGTTTTGACTCGGACCCAGCAGATTAATGGGTATTTCAAGGACCACGAATTTACTTCTTGTGAATTTTCCCGTCATGGGAAAAGAAAAAGAAACTAATAAGGGGGAAAATCGCATAGTTCGGCCCTTTTCTTAGACCTAAATGGGGTTGGAGTGGCGATGGCCACACTGATTTTCATCAACCATACGTGTGTTGTGAATTTTGAAATTTCATGTGAAATTTCTATATTTCCCTCTCTTAAGTGAAGATTCGCAAAATTTTCTTAATTTGTCGCCGTCAACTCAAATTTCGACGTTCACCAGTAGAGGGGATTTTCTTCGGATGATGGTAAACTCGAATAGTAAGCACAGACGAGTTTCGAGAGATTTTGCATGTTACATTTTACACGTTCTCATTAACAGTGATCCGCGACGATAATTTAAAATTCAGAAGAAAAACCCTGGCGAAATTTATCGGTAAGAGTATATAAGTTCCTGAAGGTGGCACTATTGTACTTCTCTTTGGCCAAATACTCATGTCATGTAATTCCTTTTCGGTCTTGTCCGCAGTGCGATTTTACATTCAAGACGTTTGAGAAGAGGTGCACGTTTGCTGCCAAAATTTGTTCAATGATTTAAGTAGACAAAGTTGGCCTGCGGAAAACAACTTAAAGCTTTCTTTTATACCTACAGAAGGAACGAGTCATCCAAATCGAAAGATCTCGTTGGATCGCCATTGATAGAGTGATGGAGACATGTCTTGCGTTGGATCACTCCCATCTGCAGCTTTGTCACAGTGAACAAATTCATCGAAAGATGTCCGCTATGAGCCCGAAACCCTAGCTTCCTAGACGACGACGGTTCAAATCATGGCTCTAAGCGCCATCTTTTTTAGCATTTTTTGTTCTATTTCTCTTTTGCATGCCAAGCACGAGAGATAATAACATGCTTTCACTTCTGCAAAACTTGCGACGTACATAAAATTTTCATATTGACGTGTAGATTTGCGTATGAACTCTTCATAATTCTCTTTTAATTTTTCAGAAGTCCAAGCCAACGAATCGATAGTTTTCGTTCCTTACGGAAAGTATCTCTGTCAAAATATTTTTGCCATTTTATTGAAGTTGCAGATGTGAAGGTGTTTGTTAAAAGGAGTTCCGTGTACCAGATAACTTATTATGGAAGATGGGTCTGTTAATATATGGCACAAAGTTGAATGGCCTCTTATATAATAATTGCCAAAAAAGTTATGAACCTATCGTGCAACGTCCTCCAACCATGTTTTACTAAACTGAATTACGAGTCTCGTATAAAAGATGGACGCAAATATGGTGTATAAATGGAACAGAGTCACCACCATCGACGACGACTTCTGACTATGCCGAGACCACCCAACACCCATGAGGATAAAACAACATCTGTGTGTGTGATCGCGCGTGTCGATATCAATGAGGCAAGGTCTACAAATCTTCAGATCTAGAGGGGTGCCGCCTAGATCTTGGCGGTGTGATGGTGCCACCAACACTAGGCAGGAAGCCTAGGTCGAGTTTTTTTTGCCTCTTCTCCCGCTAAGCCGAGCTTTAGCTTGGCCGAAAATCGTCCCTAATGTAGCATCTGCAAAACTACAATAGTTTATATCAGCTTTTAGGGAGCTACCTCATATGGTGTCGGGGTATTGTAGTTTTACAACATGTATTACCAAACATATAAGTTACATTACTTCTTAATACATTCACAACGCAATACAACTACAACACAATCACTTATACCAAATAGATGCTAATCTCTCACCAATTAATTTTGTATGCTTGTAATTTTGTTTAGCACTAAACATCTTCCTTGACATGCAAACTCATCACATGTATATATGCAGAAGATAACACACTAATGAAAGTAGAACAATAACACAAAAATCAATAACACATTAATGAAAGTACTCGATAAAAAAAATTTCTGCTGAAACTTTTTTTATCCAGTACCTCAACTTGGGAGAATAATTTATGTTAATTTTTTTGAAAAATCAAGTATTTGCAAGCCAAAGCCAAATGATGATGTGGCCCAGGGGATACCAGCCCCAGACCATCCTTTCACGTAATTGTGGATAATTTCGACTTTTAAGCGCAGGTGAGAGAGAGAGAGAGAGAGAGAGAGAGAGAGAGAGAGAGAGAGAGAGAGAGAGAGAGTACGATTTAGATTTGATTTCAGATTCAGCATTTTTTTAGGCTTTATCTAATGGGAGAGTGTGTTTGGACTTTGGTCTTAAATTCAGCCTTTTTTAGTCTCTATTCAAGGGGACAACAGTTTTGGGTGGTTAGGGAATTAGGTAGTATTGAACTCTTTGATTTTAGGAGGGTTGCTATGATATCAGAATCTTATTAAAGAGTGCTCTCGAGGTGTACATCCGGCAAAAGTTTTTTCATTTTCAATAGATTGATTGTGCGTGAAATAACAAAAACAGGGTTTTGAAAACGACAAAGTTTCTTCATATGGATGTTTAAGAAGTGCCCTTGAAGCACTCATTAACAAAATCCGATGCTACTTCTCTCTTAAATCGAGAAAATTCCTATTATTTTTGTTTTGTGTAACTCCTCATAACATTTGATAAGCAAAGATCTATTTCATTTAGGTGTCTGCTATCCAACCTTTGGCATTGACCTAGTTCAAGGCCTCGATCTCCCCTCCCCTATCCTTGACGAGGACAAAGGAGGTTTTGGGGGTTAGGGACCCCTATGTCATCACAGTGCAGTCTCGAGTGACATCTGATCTAGTGTGTGAGCCTAGCGCCACCCGCGACCCATTACTTATAAAGAGAGAAAGGCCGAGGGAGTTGCAGCAGTGGTTGCTTGGAGATAGACCCATGGTGGGGGCGGCGGGGTTGAGCCGGTGTTAGAGGCAGTGGAGATGTGATCGTGGCCGGTGATTGAGATTGGCTTGGTGTTTGACTAGGGGGTTCAGCATTGTGCATAGTGAACAGATGGAACCAAGAGCAATAAGGGAAAGAAAAAGGCAAAAGAAAGGGAAAAAAAAGCATGACCAATCTTAACTGTTTAATTTATTTATTGTTATGTGTTTAGATCATAAGGGCAACTTTACCCAACTTAAGAGGATGACAACTTTAGAATATCTCGATCCTTAAAACATTTACTCCTTTAGAACATTTCCTAACAGGTACCTACCTATGGCCAAAAGGCAAGGCTACAGATATGAACAAAAGCTCAAAAAGGACACGGATTGCGGTTCGCAGATAGTATATATGTGCAAAACTCTTCCACCATTATATGTCCCTTTAACCAATACATGGAGTGACGATTTTTAAAGTATAAAAAAATTCCCAATCCGTCCTCCTTCAGGTCCTTTTGACAAAAAGTCGATCAAGTTTGTCCTACGTGGTGGCTGGACATGGCGCAAGCGGCCAATCTGAACCCCTCATGCGTATCATGTATCGTGTGGAAGGATGGCAATGGAGGGTAACCATCAATCGCTAAGCTCGATGCCAGAATCCATTTGATTTTATTCTTAAGATTATAATACTAACGATTGCCTTGTCTTGATGGGCAGTCCAGGGTCTCGAGCTCGACAAGAATTTGGCCGGCTGAGACAGCTTAGTTAACCTACTCTTTACCTCTCTTTCAAGAGGAAGTTGGTGCAGCCGAGAATATGAAGTGGGAGAGAAATAATGAGCAATCTGCCAAAGCAAGACGATGAATACATATTCGGAGGGAGAGTATCTAGGGTAAAAGTCGACAAACATGTGATTAACATAGATAGTTGGGAAAGACTAGTTCTTAGTGTATAGGCCTACCAATCAAATCGAGTCGAAAGAAAGTACATATTGAACATATGTTAGTTTATTAATCATGCATGTAGCTTTGCCACAAGGGGTGTGTGTGTGGCTTTGTCCAGAGTTTTGTGAGCTTTATTCAACAGAAGAAGTCATGCATAACTAGTTTAATATACTATACCCTCACTTCGTAATGAACTGACCAAACAATAGTGATGTCCACTTCACGAAACATTGCCCGTTATTGCTTCCCTATAATCCCAACGACCCTAAGCAAAATACCCATTATTTTTCTCAACTGTCGTTCCCCGTTTGATTCACTTCTCAAGTCCTATGATATAGCCTTACGTTAATTGTTATCAAATTGGATCCTTCAATCATTGAAAAATGGCGAGGGATATATGAATGATTGCTGAAAGAAATTAGTAATTTATACATATATAGTAGAGGTGACAAAAGTTAGACTGAGAATGATGCGGTGCTAAATGGGATCTTGAGCTACTTCACATGTAATGGGTTCTTAATATCTTAACATATCATTACACAACTAGGAGCTCTCTCTCTCTCTCTCTCTCGCCTTCCTCTATATATATATAGCTCAAGTATAGGCAAATCTTGAACACCACTTAACTCAACATCTCTCACAACCAGATAAAAACCCTAGCTCTTCAATCCCCTCCAAATCCTGAACCCCACTCAACTCAACATCTCCCACAACCAGATAATCCCCTAGCTCTTCAATCCACTCCTCCAATACCCGCCCGACCCGTGTCAAACAAATCAACTCGCATGGACCAGAAAGAAAATGGAAACTTCTGATACACACCTTCCCTTCGCCATCTAAGCTTCCATGCACGTTACGGCAGCAAAATCCTAATTATCTTCTCGACGAGAAAGCTTCATTTCGGTTCATAATGAAAGCTGAATTGCGGGGAAACACGACGGCGTCGATTTATCTGCAAAACCTCAATCTCTTCAACACCCAGCAGAGTTCGCTTTCCGGCGCGCTCAAAGGGTGCCTCGGAACCCTGGACGCGGCATGTATAGAGAAGCTACTGCTTCACTGCGCGAGCGCGCTCGAGCGGAATGACGTCACTTTGGCCCAACAGGTCATGTGGGTTCTCAACAACGTGGCTTCTTCCACAGGTGACCCTAATCAAAGACTTACTTCGTGGTTCTTGAAAGCCTTGATCTCTAGAGCGTCTAGGTTATGCCCGACGGCTGTCAATTTCAACGGCAACGGGATTGTTGAGAGGAGATTGATGAGCGTGACCGAGCTAGCAGTGTACGTCGATCTCATCCCTTGGCATAGGTTCGGATTTTGCGCGTCCAACAGCGCGATCTATAGGGCGATTCAAGGGCATTCGAGGGTTCACATCTTAGATTTTAGCATCACTCATTGTATGCAGTGGCCTACGCTCATTGACGCCTTGGCTAAGAGGCCCGAAGGCCCTCCATCGCTAAAGATCACGGTGCCGTCTTGTGGGCCACCGGTCCCTCCCCTGCTTAATGTACCAAGCGAGGAGATTGGTCTTCGTTTAGGTAATTTTGCGAAGTTTAAGGATGTGCCATTCGAATTCATCGTGTTGGATGACTCACCCAATGCATCTGAATCGGCTAATACTTTTCATTTCGAATCAGTCCTGAGTCAATTGAGCTCGTTAGATCTGAATCTCGCGGATGATGAGGCTTTGGTCATCAATTGCCAAAATTGGGTAAGATACTTGTGTGATGAGCCAAATGGGGGTGATTATCAAGATGCCTCTTTGAGAGATGTTTTCTTGGACATCATAAAAGGGCTTGACCCTAATATAGTGGTTGTGGTTGATGAGGATGTTGATTTGAGTGAGCCAAGTCTGGCCTCAAGAATCACAACTTGCTTCAATTATTTGTGGATCCCGTTCGACGCGTTGGAGACTTTCTTGCCCAAGGATAGTTGCCAGAGGCTGGAGTACGAATCGGACATCGGCCATAAGATCGAGAACATCATGGGATTCGAAGGGTTCCAAAGGGTAGAGAGGTTAGAGTCGGGCAGTAAATTAGTGCAAAGGATGAAGAATGCCGGGTTCTTGAGCCTGCCCTTCTGCGAAGGGACCATAAGCGAGGTCAAGTCCTTGCTCGATGAGCATGCCAGTGGCTGGGGGATGAAGAGAGAAGAGGATACGTTGGTGCTCACTTGGAAAGGGCACAACTCGGTCTTCGCCACGGCTTGGGTCCCCGGCAACGGATACGAGAATTGAAATGGGGGGAGTCAATGCGGAGTCATTCCTTGCACAAGACCCGAGCTGATCAGTCGGACTGTGTGCAAGCGCCTGAATCAACCGACGCAGTCCGTGGAACGGAGACAAGACAACTCTTTGGGATCGCTCTGGACAAGAATTTCGTCTCATGTGAAACTCGAGCCTTATCTTAAGATGGCCATATAGGTGGCTTGTACGAACTGCCACATGATGGCTGTTCTTTCCTCGGTGGTCCATGAGGTGCATGTAGAGACAAAATGGCGCTTCGTGCTTTTCATGTTTGTCAAAAACAAAAATGCTGCACAAAAAGGGCGTTTGGACAGAAGGAGGAAAACGGCAACAGAGTTTTGAGAATAAGATCGTGCCGCTCTCGCTGTGTTCGAGCTCTCCTTAAAGTGTGATTCACATGAAAGTGAAGAGAGAGAGAGAGAGAGAGAGATGCGTTGTTTTGTCTCTGTACAATGGACAAAATCTCTTGGAACATAGTTTTAGATTTGAAGACTCCTGTGCAGAATATTTCTATAGAATATGTTTTCTAGCTACCCACTCATGATACAAGCAAGTTTACTGTATTCTCATTATATTTGCTGCTCTTTCGCGACATCTTGGACACATATTAGAAGACTACTGCTTCAGATTACTGAAAGCCATCCAGTCCTAGAAGACTACTACGTCTTGGACACATGAATATGGTATTTTTCTTTCGGTCGAAAAGAAAGTTAATTTCATTTGGTCAAAGATAGTATGAGGTCAACATTGATAACAATATTATAAGCATAATAAATCCCATAGAGGTTGGGGACTTAGACAGCCGATTAGAGGGGACGATCCCTTTCCGGTGAGTTTTAACAACCCAATTCGCAATTTGATTTGCTTCGCATGGGCAATGGGCTATGTTGAGCCAGAAGCCTCTTGCACTCTCCATCGAAGGGCCCATGGGCATAAATATGGTATTAAAAGATAAAGATATCGAGATTACTTTGATTGAGAGAGGGGGTAATGTTAATTAGAAATATTGAATCAAATCTTGTGATCGAAGAGTTGTAACTTGGTCATTTAACATAGAAAAATGACGTGTTTTACATAATAAGGTGTGGAATAGCGCCTCACTAAATCTCCTCCATATTACATATGAGATAACAAGTTTTTGACATGATTCCTGCTTTGGACAGCAATAGATGGAGAATCTTCTTTCTTTCTTTTTTTCCTTTTTCCTCTTGACTTTTGAACGAGTTTTAGAAGTCGAAAAACAACTTTATCATTTGGACAGGGTAACAATTTGAACCTTTGGCACATGGAGGGTATAGACATGAACTCATGTCATTTTCCCAGAACGTTAACGTTTGAATTGAAACTTCATCTTTTGCCCGTTGAATGCTTCCGGTTCAAACTTACTCCAGTTTTCTGGCGATACAGATCAGGAATGAGGACCACGACCTTTTGTTATAGAACAGTCGCATTCACTTCGCATCATAGACAGCAAAGACAAGAACGTTAAATTTCAGTTTTCTATTAAAGCTTTTGAACTTAGCCAAAGGTTATACCACCAAAATGGTGTTGGAGTTGGCGAATACTTCGGGGACCCTTGTTTCTCACACCAGGTACGCCCACGTGAGCTTAGGGAAACTGAAGTGTTGTCCGACGACATGTGACCTATGCGTCGCGGAATGCGGGGTTCGGGCGCGCGCCCACTGCAGTGCTCCTGCCGGTCAGCCGGGCAGGGGGTTCGGGGCGCCCCGGCACGGGTTCCATTGCCGGTCATGGCGGCCAGCCCGCCGCCGGTGAGCGGGCGGGGCTCGGGGCGGCGCCCGCGCCTCAACGGGTTTGGGCGACCGTATGGTGCGATATTAAGAGATTTCATATAGGTTTAGGTTTTGGGCCCGTTTGGGGCATATATATATTTTGCTCGTTTTTCGATCATTGTAACGAGTTGAGTGGTCAAACCGAAAAAAAACATAGTGAAATCTCTTTGCGGGACGTAGCCCTAATCGAGGGTGAACCTGGGTAAATTCGTGCATCGTCTATTTTCTCTGTTTTCTGCGTGATCGTTCTGTTTCGGTTCTCGATACGACCCTTCAAATGGAAGGTGAGAAGGAAGCGATTTTACTAGTATCGGAAAGGTCTTCTGCCTTCCGATGTTATTATGCAATAACGAGACTATATTATAAGCAATATAGCACAAACAAAACTTGTGCAAGCCCCTTGTGAAATCTACATAATCTGTCGGTGTCATACGCTTTAGCGAGATGCGAAAATTGCTCCCCATTCGCACCACTGGGAATCAGCTCTCTTGCTGCCAAAAAGAGTTGTTACTAAAGCTTCTACTGCCAAAAATTAGTTGTGGCTAAAATGATTAATTGTCACTGAAACCAGACTCTTTTGGCCACTGTTCGCGACAAACTTAGCATCAAAGCTCCTAACAAGCCACGAAGGTCAAGATCCTGTGACCATATATGTCTCTATCATTAAGAAGAGAACTTACAGCGGCGACTTGTTATATGAAGGCTAAAACTATCCCAAATAATCCTTTTCTTTCACCTCTGATGGCAGATAAATCACTTTTCAGACATCTTAAAAAAATTCATAAGAATATGCAGAGCAGATTTCTAATGGAAGTTTATCATAGTAAAAATGTCAATTATTCATGATGCATGGAAAAAAACAGAAAGAACTAGCCAAATCAAGTATCGAAGAACTAATGGGTCATACCGCTGGACATGAGGATCGAACTGCTAAGTATCAACGTCCATCTTCTGCTGTGTGAAGAGTAGCTAAAGACAAATCTCATAGTTTGCTCCTGGCAAGGATGATTCCTGGAAAGCGAGCATTGAATCTCTTGAATTGAGGTAGAATTCATTAGCAATAAAGGGCTGAACCAGGCCCAGTTTGGCACTTCACCAATAAGGCCCGCTTGGTACATGACTCTCTCTCTCTCTCCCCACAAAAGTTGGAATCGAATTCAAAAGTTCAGGGAGTCAGCAGATCACATTGCGGCAAGATGGGGGCAATGTCTCTATGAATACAGATTTGGGGATTTAGTTTTAAGGTATCACGTGAAGATGCTGAAGCAAGAACGACCATTTTTTTTGCATGCTTTTGAATGCGATCTTGCAGGATGGGAGTCTCTTTCCTTTATTCATGGATACCACATGAATTGCCTGCCACTTGCATGCCCCCATCACATCATCAACACATGTCCTCCATTAATTTCCACAAAAAATTGGTTTCCTTTTAGGACCAAGCCCCATTTCTTGCCTCCTCGTGTCTAAACCCGCCAAGTTAACGTTATTTTAAGTTGATCCACACCCGATGGAAGTAATACTCGACAAATGACCAAGTTGAAATATGGTCCTAGGTTAATAAGATGAGCAGAGTAATGTAAGCTTCAAGAAGCATGCGAATATATTCTATGTCTTCTTTTTAATTCCATAAAAATCGAGAAGCAATACGTAAAACCTCCGAGATCTGTGTGGTTAACACTCCGCAGTCACCTTGTCTTTGTGCACAGGGTGGAATCAAGGGTTGTGAAGCCGTGAGGAGATGTACGCACGAGCTCGTGCATATATACAAGGCCTGTAAGAATTGTATGGAAAACTGACGTGGGGTTTATTTCGACACCCTGTACAAGTCCAATGTAGAAGAATGGCGAATGAGATTATGAGAATTCGCTGGTAGAGTGACTGACTGATTGGGATTGATAAGATGAGAAATTCAGCTCTTCTCGTTTTAGAGAATTTTCATGGAAAGCCTGTTTATAAATTTAGGATGGGTGCATGCACATTAGGATAACATTAAATCCACAAACCAGCGATGTGAAAGAGATTCCTTTTAATAATTCAAATTAGCGTTGTGAATAAAGATGAATTTTGAATCTCAATCCGAGAGAAACAAGAGTTAAACATCAGCAATCCTTTTTCCTTGTAATTTTCCATCCATTACAGATTCTGCTCGATCGATTTGCCTAGGCAAAAGGTGACATCGAGGATCCCACAAATTTAAATTCGAAAATTAACCTAGTATTATATCTTCTGTCGATGACATAACTTTGGTTGGAGGATCATACCTAGATTTAACAATCTATAAAAATAACCAAAAAGGGCGTAGAAGGCACGCTCCTACAAATATTGAGATATGGTACGGGACCCATGATTTGACGTGCAATCCAATTTTTTTTTCCCTACTTTGAGCTGGATTGCTAGTAGAGAATGCATGTAAATTCTAGAGACTAGCTACTTCTTGATGAGATTCTCGTGATCATGTGGTCTAATTAAGTTAATGAGATTCTTTTTGCCATAATTGGCTTAATCAATGTCGATCAAACCACCATGTTACTCTTCGCAGGGACAAAGCTAGGAATTTTCGATGGTGGTGGCAAAAATACATATTTCATTTAGAGTGTTTAATCGGAAATTTGACGTTCATTTGGACCTTTAACACGATCATCATATAGAGGAAATATCAAGTTTGAGATTACTCGTTACACCCACTCCAAGTGACCACCAATTCACGTATCGTATAAGTTTTAACCACATCTACTCTACACATGGCCATCAAGAGGATTAAAATTTCCTCATCAATACCCATCTGCAATTTTCATACCTATATGATTGGATAACTTTTCATGTGTCCTAGAATATCTATCTATGTGAAATAAGTTGAAATGGTCTAGTCTTTTTACAAAATTTTATCGCATATGTTTTTTTTTTTTTTAACTTCGAAGCATTCGACACAAAAAAAAAAACCTTTGAAGCATAACCACATTACATTTGGTAAATACAATTCACTTTTTAAGATAGTACTATGATTATTCTTCCTGTTTTTGTTGTACTTGGATTTTTATTTTTTTTTGCTGTAACTTGGCGATATATTCCATGATCCATGAGAGATCTTAAAATCAAAATCAATGTATAAATTGTTTAGCCGGGGACAAAATTAAACATGTGAGAACAAGACTCGATTTTCATTAAAAGAATGCATGTTAGGAGAAAAAATCTTGAAGTGCCCCCACCGAACATATAATGGCGCCGTCTCGGGATTCGTATCGAAGCACTTCTTAAATCATATGAAATTGAAAAGCGACAAAATTTTTAGAAAATGATCGTGTGCATCGCATCAATAACTCCCATTCGAGCTTAAGCGGACTCAACGTGCGATAAATCAACCGACCGTGTCAGTATGAGCCGTACCACGAGCAATGTGTTTTTTCGTGCCTCTAATACGCATCCAGCTATCTGTCACGATTCTCTCGAGCTATTATTTCGCCAAGCCATGTATTATCGCCGTCTTTCTGTATTTATGGCAATTTGTAACATAAACAAGAATACGCATACGTATTTCTCGATCAATGATGCTTATGGACGACAGAGGAGATGATTGGCTAATGATTGATGGTGCATTGACCATGGCAGGATGTCGAACGCGGAGCTTTGGTGGGGGGGGGGGGCGGGGGGGCGAAGGGAAAAAGAGAGAAAGGACCATGAAGTTTTGAGGGGACATCATGTTGCCCCTCGGGAAAAGGTCAATAAATGATGTCCTAATCATAATGGTGTAGGTGGTAATCTCATCAGGTTCACCCGCCCCCTTCAGATCTGACGGCCAAGACCGCTGCTTGGACCGACCTTTTTTGTGGATCCCACCGTGGGGGGATTTGATGCATGATGGGACTTTGATCCGACGGCTACAAAAAGCAGCGTTTCTAATTGTACTTTTATTTCTTTTCTAATTGTACTTTCTCAGGAGGTAAAAGTAGCCTATATTTACTCTGCCCTGTTTTTTTTTTTTGCATCATGAGTAAATTCTGCAGAAATTGGTAATTATAGAGTTGCTCTGGTCTGCTTTTTTGGTGGGTAAATCTTGAAAGGACCCAAAAAAAAAAAATTAGGTTGCCAATTAAATAATTGAACGAAAATTGAAAAGGTGTCATCCGATTGGGAGATAGACGACCATCACGTGATGATGCCTGCTGAGACCATCCACGTGATCTATCAATTAAAAATGCAAAACATTTTATGAGACTGTAAAATAGTTTTTGAAGTGGATGTCCATTAATTATAATGTTTCGCAATATAATAATTCAAATACATTATCATAACTTGAACATCGATGCATCGAATGATCTTTCTCTAGAACGTTGCGAGCTTTGGAAATGGAAGACAAAAGTCCACGTTGTTTGGGATGTCTCCCTTGTCAAATGTCAAACATGCTTGGGTGCACGACAGAAGATTCGGCTCCCCGCCATATCAACTGAGGCACTAGCTCGAGTCTTGGTTTGCATCATGCCTGATGAAGTAGAATAGGATTTGATTTTTTCTTATTTGAGATAGATTTCCTTGTCACCCCCCTTAAGAAAAGAAGAAGAAAATCTTGCATAGGGTCCTTGCATTATAGCTCGTACTAGAAGTGTCTATCCTTTGGAGAAATTCATTGCGCAATCTAAAAAAGGGTAAAAAGTAAAAACTTCACTATGCTCTTCTCCCCCACTAAATTAGGTTAAAACCTAGTGTTGACAATATTGTTGTGTTTGTGTAGAGGTAGACCTAAAGAGTATGTCCAATTTGGTCAATTCAACTGTGGAGTTATGTTAGTACATCACTCTCAAATGTCTAGATGGGCTAACATATCTCCATTCATATAAATAAATGGTAACATCATGATTATGCGCATTAAATAAACAAAAACAAGCATGCACCATTTGACCATTTAAATTAACTTTCCCGCCAAAGGCCAAATCCCGTGAAAAACCCTGGTTTTGGAGGGAACTAAAAAACACAATTCATTAGGCGAATGAACCACGCGGTAAATTTGTTCTCACGTGTTGTCCTCCGAAAGGTCACGCGGCAACGGCGCGACTTTCTAATGACGTGACCCGCCGAGGAGACGGGGTTGTTACGATAAAAAACCGATTAGTCGATCTTCAACTAGCGCCCCCCCAGACACTCGAATTCGATGAAAGATCATCATGATTTGGTTCTAAAGAGGAGAAAGTAAAGAAGCCAAGAAACCAACGAGAGCCAGATCTTCAGCCGGGCCCAATCTGCGGACTCGTTGGAAAGTTGACCCCAAGTCACCATCCTATTTTCCTCCTCCATTAAAGTCCAAGCGGGGCCATCTTTGCATTTCTATGCAAATATTATATCAGAGGCACTGCAGTGCAAAGAAAAGAAGATGAAGAAAATGTGCACTTTTAAGGAGCACATCACAAGGGAAAAAGGAGAGAAAAAAACTTACTTTAATTGCAAGAGAAAAGAGAGGAACTGTTGAGTTGAGCAGGCTCTGATATGTTGCGCAGAGTCAAAGCAGATTAAGGACGGTGGTGGTTAATGCGCGACTACAGAGCTGCAGAGGTGTGAAGATGGGGAATGTGATCAGAAGAAGCAAGAACCTTGTGTGAGTTGTAAGCTTGGAATCGTCTCAGAAAAGGAAAAAAAAAAATGAAAAGACAAAATCCCCATCTTCCATTTTGCTTCTAATAGCTGATCATAATGATAATAACTTCTCTGTGCTGTATTTCTTCCGTTTTCTTGAGGCATTATACAATAAATTTGCAGGCAAGCCAGACACTGTTAACTAGGTCACTTCGCTCTCTCCCTCTCTCTTACACAGTCTCTCTCTCTCTCTCTCTCTCTCTCTCTCTCTCTCTCACTGGGGTAGACATTGACACTATTATATTCTTCTCCTGTGTCTTTACTCCCCTTGTTGCCTCTTCACATTCTCTATTCTCTCTCAGACTCTCCTTCTCTACACTGCACAGGAACACCAGAGAGAGGGAGAGAGAGAGAGACCATACTTTGCTTCTGCACCAATCGACCACTTACTAGTACTGTGTCCCTACACGACAAAAGCCCATTTGCTTCGAAACGCCATCGACAAAAGAAAGAAACCCAGTCGCCGGTTTTTTCTCTGTTTGTCTTCTTTCCCCATCTCCGAATATGGCCTTGTTTCTTGTTCCCCACTTCTCAGTTTCTTCCCCCCTTACATCTCTGTCTCAGTTTGTTGGCTAATCTTTCTGCCCCCTTTTGAATTTTTGTTTCGTTGCCCGAGAGTCCGGGGTTTTATTTACTCGGGTCATGGAAGCTTTCTGCGATCTTCAAGTGGACGTCAATGGCGAAGAGACTTTTATTGTGAACAAGGTGATTCTTCTGCAACCGAGCTTCATTCTCCCCCCAAAAAAATGCAATCTTTTTCCTCTTAACCTCGGTATTTTCCAATGGCTATCGATTGCCCACTGTGAGCTATGTTTCTTTGTTTCGTAATTTCAGTTTTGCAGTTCCAAAGTTTCGTTCTTTGATGGGGTTGTAGTTTTTCAATGGGTTTTTGCATTCAAATTTAGCAGCTTTTACTTTCCTTCTTCCTCCCGCAAATTTTTCTCAACCAAAACTCACCCTTGTCATCGAAATTGCAGTTTTTGACGGAACCGTCCACCATTAAAATCTGCAAGTTGCAACTATGTTGGCTGAATGTGGGTCATAGGAACAAGACCCTTTCTTTCATGCACCTATTCTGGGTTGTATGCACACACAGTTCACATTGAAAAAGCTCGTGGCTTTATGTTCTGTTTCGGCTGTGTAATTTATTGGAGTCGTTACAGGCCTTAAATGCACATCCCCTTCCTTTGCTTCTATCCAATTTCAAGTCCCCTTTTTTGTGGTGGCGTGTCAAAAGTGTTGCTTTCCTGGCCATTTATTACTGTTCTCACCCTTCTTTGCTGGGCTGTGCTGCCGATACCGATCGTTGCTCGTTTGTTATTTTTACTTTTTTTTTTACAATGCAAATTTAATGCCTAATAACGACCTCTCACCTCTCTGTGGCAAGAAATTTGTTGAGAGAATCTGCTCTTTCTGTTTTGTTTTGTTTTTTTCCTCTTACTGTAAGTTTCCTGGTTTTGCTAAACTCAGGAGATTAAATCCTTCTGTGCATTTGACTACTCCAAGGCTTCATTAGGAGAGTGATTGCGAGTTACTTAATGTAATTGATAGGTTTCTCTACCAAAACTAGTTTCTAGATTTTTGTAAGTCTGAATTCATAGATTTATTCCTATTTTTCCTGGTGTGTTCTCTGCCAAATTTTTCTTGAAGAAATTGGTATTCCTTGCAATTCTTCACTTTGATAGTCTGGGAATTGTAGTGGGGTACTTTTTTTCTTGATGGGCTGACTCGGTTTTTGTGTGAATCTTTGCAGAAAATCATCTCTTCATATTCGGGAAGATTGGGCAAATTGTTCAGCAAATCAAGCTGCTCTACTAGGAACCTGAAAGTGATATTCAATGACTTTCCAGGAGGAGCAGAGAGCTTTGAGCTCATGTGCAGGTTCTGTTACAATAATGGCAAGATCGAAATAACTCCTCTCAATACAACCCTCTTGAGTTGTGCTGCGAATTTCATGGAGATGAGCAATTCTATCTCCGGAAACGATAACTTAATCGAACAAACAGAGAAATCTCTTGAAGAGATCAGACATTGGACCTGGTCTGAACTTATGGCTGCGCTCAGGCAGTGCCAAAATTCTTTTCCAGTGGCGAGTAAATCTGGCCTACTCGAAAGATGCTTGGATTCTATCACTCTGAGAGTAGCATTGGCAAGTGAACCGAGTCCAAGTCCGTCGACTTCTTCATCGGATTATTCCGGGGTCCGGTTTTCGTGCGACACGAAGAGCACGGAGAGTTTGAAGAACAGCTTCTCCCGAGCGACGTGGTGGTTTGAAGATCTCTTAATCACGGATGTGAGTTTGCTTGAGATGATGGTCAGGTCCATGATTAAGCAAAAAGTCGAACATGGTACAATTAGCAAGTTCCTCTTCTTTTACCAGAAATCCAAGTTCCATAATGCCGGGCCTCACGAGAAGTGCAAAATCATGGAAATGGTCGTCGATTTGCTCTGTAGTCTGGAGCTGAGTTCCGTCCCTTGCAAAAGCTTATTCGGGATTCTGAGAGTTGCTCTGGGGTTGAACATAAGCAAAGGTTGCCGAAACAAGTTAGAGATTATGATCGGCTCTCAGATGGATCAAGCGACATTGGACAATTTGCTCGTTCCATCTCCTCAAGGGACGAACTCTTTGTATGACACAAATGTTGTACTGAGGCTAGTGAAAGCATTTCTGAAGGAAGGAACTTGTGATGTGCCTGAAGTGCAGTTGAAGAAAGTGGCTAACTTAATGGATCTGTATGTAGCTGAAGTAGCGCCTGATCCATGTTTGAAACCTTCGAAGTTCCTCGCTTTGGCTATGGTCCTTCCCGATTCTGCAAGGGACTCGTTTGATGACATGTATCATGCTGTGGACATGTACCTAGAGGTACTCAATTCAGCTGCGTCATTGTTGCTATTAAGGATATTGATCAAAAAACCTTCCTAAAGATCTCATACGTTAGCTTAATTTATCCGTATCCTCGGTAGATTTCATGCTCAAGCAGGGACCTTTGGAAGCTTGATTTAAAGATTGAAACTTCGTCAATAAAATACGATTTTTAGCTCAAATGTTTGGTTTTCTTGGACTTAATTCGGTTTCTCTTTCTATCAGGTGCATGCAGGATTGTCTGAAGAAGAAAAGATCAAGATGTCCCGTGCCTTGAATTATAGGAAGCTCTCAGCCGAAGCTTGCAAACATCTTTCGGAGAATTCAAAGTTCCCATCCAAGATCATCGCGCAAGCTGTGAATTCTCAACAATTCAAGCTCAAAAGCTTGATCCGAGTGTCCAGCAATTCTAGTGCCTTCACCAGTTCACCATGCAGTTTCAGTGACAACATCAAGAAAGACGAGGCAGGCGAACAGATAGTACTCTATGCAGGGGACCTTGAACTTTCAACCGATAATGTGAGGCTCAGGGCTCAATTGCAAGGGATGCAATCGAGGGTGACGGAATTAGAGAAACTTTGCCGGAAAATGCAGAATCAAATGGCCAAGGTACTCAGATCGAGAGTGTCGTCAAGCCACAAAAGCAGATCTTTACCGAGGCTATGCTCATGATAATACTAGGCAAATAACTTATGAATCTTCTGTCTTCATAGATATTTGTGAGGGTTGTATAGCAAGAGCAATGTGTCCTTATGCTTGCTTTTTTTGTTTTGCCCACCTTCTCTTTTTGTGCAAATTGAGCTTGAGGTCAATGGTGAGTTGTTTCTTTTACAAGAGATTCAGATCATGGTTGTACAGCTACAGGGAAGAGGAACGAGAGCTTGCGCTTTTCCAGACAAAAAGCACGGAATATATTAACACATGCATGTTCTTGGTGTCATGTCTCCAGGGTCAAGTCCTTTTCCATGTCACTCTCACACATGACAATTGATAATTGCCAAATTGGCTTGTCCTCTTTACAGTTCACAAAACCGAGCACCAAACCACAGGGCTTTGAAACTTGACTTGCTGTCTCTAACTCTTGCTGAGCATCACGGCACAACTGATATCTTATGACCAGTTTTTTACATGAATAATCACTAAACAATGCTTAATTTCCTCATCCAATCAAAGAGAAAGAACCTTAGTACATGTCCTGTGACAGTAACAATGGCTCACAACATTGCAATTTGTACCCACCACATGATTAATTACATAGGAAAGGTTTTAATTTCGAGAAAGATTAACACTGGGGAATGAAGACAACTCAGTGGTTGACCTGCCAGAACAGAATGACAATATTTGAGTAGATGTACAGGGCACATCTGGTTGCCCAGAGAGAGTGAGATTTGCTATCAGCAATATTTTTTTAGTCACTCTTTTGGACAGTAGCTATTTGTATAAACTTCTAACTATAGTAACATATATATATTTAATTACATAAGTACTTGGCATTGATTGGAGGTAGGTACCATGTCTGAGTCCCAACTTCCAAGAATACCAAACCTTCATATTCCACCAAAAAAAAAATATATTTGATTCTTTCTTCTTGCTGTACTGAAGAAAGAAGATTAACTGGATGACCATATTTTACTAGATCGCCTTGCATGCCAGTGGTGTATCTGGCGTTCCCTCTGATACACCATTGACTAAATACCATCTTCAATTCTTGGGAGATGCAGAACCCCTAAAAATATGTATTTATCTATCTCCTAGATAAAGAAATAAGATTAAACGAGAATATAATGGAATTTCTGCATTTTCATACTATTTAAAATCCAAATAGCTTAATTTTAAACGGCACGGCTAATCACCTTTCAAGATGGGTTTACGCGAGATGGTTCAGCCATTAAAAAACTCGATTTAACAATGTTCAAATTACGCTTTGGGTTCCTCAACGAGCATTTGTTTTGGGAGAGATGTCTTGCCTGATAATTAAATGTCCACATGATCAGTTCTTCCAAAAGAAACAAAGGAATATTCGTCCCAACCAGATTGCAAATCGGAGACCCCACAGGGGAAGATGGTATGAACTGGGGGTGAGCACGGGCGGCCCGGGCCTCAAGGCGAATGTGGCCCGGCCAGTACAGATCGGGCCTGGCATTTACAGTCTACAGCTATGTAATTATACACGCGGCACGACAGATATTAAACCGACACTTTCTTAGAAGGTCATGTATGCAACGATATCACAACTAAATATTGGTGAGAAGATAATGGAATGATGAACTTCCAAATCTTGATGAAGTCCCCTCAACTTTATCTCTTTCTCTTAGATCTCTGTTCTTGCTGTTTATCAAGTAGTTAGGTTAGTAATTAAATAATTAATTATTAAATTAAGAAGCGAAATGCCGGGAGAGTGTGTGATCTTTCCTTAGACGCTACTCCTGTTTCTGTCCCAGCTGCCCCCGAGGTGTCTCGTATTTCACAGGATCGTGGAACAAAGGCATGACTTTAAGGAAAACATCTGAACTTTCACCAGATAATCAGAATATTTAACAAACAAAATTCATTGAGTTTGTGAATTTTAATTTTGGGAAATGAATGAAGCTTTGAGTCGAAGCAACAGATCGTTTGACCGTTGAATTGATGCCATTTCTCCTTTTGAAGCATGGAATCGTGGAGAGAGAGAGGGACAGAGAGCCTATAGCTTGACTTACCAATTTGCTACTATCTTCTAAACAACTGTCATGAATTGGAACTGAATTTAAATTGTGCAGGAATGGGAAAGGTTTAATTTAAAATCGGATTTAGAGTGTGTTTGTTTCGCGTAAAATTTCTTGATAAAGGAAAATGATATCTTTCCGTGAAAGTCATCTTCAAGGAAACTGATTAGTTTTCATTTGTTTAGTAATATGCTAAAAAAGTGTGACTGAAAGTTTTTGAGTGTTTGAATCGCATTTAGGATAATGGGTATTGAAGAAGTGAACCTTTGTTAATGCTGTGTTTAGTTGGCCGGATACAATACTGGATAGGATAATTTCTATTTTATCCAGTGTTTAGGGCAATACAAAATTCCAATGTGTACAGTTATGGACCAAATTAAAAAGTTCCCACCTAGGAGATGGGATTAAACCGGATAGGATATGTCCTCCACAGTTAGGAACCAGCGCCGCACTCCACTTTCGTTCACTAGTGGTGAAATGAGAGAAAAAAACGGTTGAGGGCTTGGGTAAAGGCCGGTGAGGGCCACCAGGCCTAGGCAAGGGTTGGGAACCCTCAGCGGTCCTCTGGTGAGGACCGCTGCGGCCTGGCAAGGGCCGGCAACCGTCACCAATCGCAAGCGAGGGTCATTTGATGTGGTGCTGGTGAGTTGGGTGGTGGTGAGAGAAGGTGAAGGATGATGACTGATTGACTTTTGTGGGGATGATGAAATGAAATATGTGCAGGTGAAGAGAGAAAGGAGGAGAGAGCGAGCATCATTTGGAATTGGAATTTTGAGAGCTTCAAGGTCGCGTGTGTCTTGGTTGTTCTAGTTTCAGAGAATGAAACCCAGCAAAAGGAAAAAATCACCATATTTGGGAAAGAATCCCCAAGTCCTTCATTTTTTATCCCTCAAATCAACATCCTTTAATTGCGATTAGGGTTCTCTAGCGACCCCAACATTGCAATTACATCAAACAATATAAGGACGTGTGTTGAATGATTGATCAAATGAGAGACATAGAGGACGAAATGGAAGCTCGTGAAAATGAGAGTGGTGAAGGGCATGGATTTCCATCTTATCCCAAGTTGTACCAAACACTTGATAGAATTAGAAATGTCCACTTTACTATTCGAAAAATTTTATATCCTACTTTATTCTATCCTATCATATCATAATCCTTATCCCGGCGACGAAACACAGCCTCAGAGACTTGTTATGCTTGGGAAAATGATTTCCTCGATTTAACAGGAACTTATTTTCCTATTTTTGACTATGAGTTTGTTTAAGCGTAATTACTTTTTGTTGACTAATCATTTTCAACGAACTAAATACATGAAAGTCCAGAAAATTAATTCAGTGAAAAGTTTTTCATTGAAACAAACACACCTTTAAAGTACCTTAATTCCTTATAGCAGATGGGGTCATAAATTAAATTGTCTAATTCATCTTGATTTCTTCCCGGTATATAGCATCGTTAATTCCTCTAATTTCCTCATAAAATGAAGGAAATATTTCTGTCATACACTAGTAGAATTCTTCTTCCTCGCTATCCCTCCATCTCGACATAGCTCGAGAGAAATGGGATCGATCAATAATGAGTGGATGCAGTGCTTCGATCTGTCATCCGGAGCGCCGTGTGCATCTCCGTCCTGGTATGTATAGTGAGCTATTCGGGCTAGGTTGAAAGCCAGACGTACGAATGACTGTCCAAACAAAGAGTCGTCAACTTGATATCTGTTCATCTTCTTCCATGCCGTGTCGATCAGTTCCTTAATGTGCTCACGAGCAACATCCTCAGACACCCCGGTTTCTTGCATGTAGCATACGATGGAATTCGCCATTTCTCCCCTCTCTAGCTCGGCCTACGATAAATAGTTGAACATGTCGAGATATACAGAAAGTTTGCATCACAGTTTGATGATGTTTTCAAAGAAATTACTTAAAAGTACAAGTGCACGCAAAGTCCTAAAACTATCGCAAGAGAAGTGCACCAGGTTGTGATTTTTCAAGTAATTTTCAAAGACTGCTTCTTGCATGAAGTTTTTGGATAAGTTCTGGTTGGTATTAGTTAGTAGCAGCAACTGGAAACATCTATAGCACTTTCACAAAGTATTGATGAAGATGATCCAGTGATTCGAAGTAATTTCTTGTTTTTGTCTATTTTAATTTGGATGTTCCTCGGTCAAAATTGTAAGTCTGAATTATCGTACTCTTTCAATCATACGATACACAATTATCATCCACCCAACCCAAAGTTGCAGTGCTTGTATGCTCAGCCCTTTTACAGCTCACTAGTTCTAGGGAGCGAAGAAGAAGGAGAAGGAGAATGCTTACCGACGAGGTGCCGAGATCGTTGCAGAGACGGAAAATAACCGACGGCGACTTTAGGAGGTCGTGGCTGTAGCTCTCGAACGATTCTAGTTCCTCCTTTCTAACGTGCGGGCTCAACAGAAAAAATGCATGAATCAATATGACGAGTCCTGAAACTGAGATCCAACCGTTGTTCATGTATTCTTTGAACGCCGGGGTGACCTTGTTGTGCTTCCACTTCGCTTCTTGCATGAAGGCTTTGCACAAGTCACTCCACTAGATCCATCACATTCAAATTCATTTTTGTTATGGTCGAGAATTCGTAAACTTCGAAGGGTTTAATAATGGTCGACGTGAAGTACGTACCGCCTTTGCTAGACATGGGATGATATTTTCTCCATCCTGCTTGAGAACGTCGTAAGCCATCTCATGCACGGAGTTGTAGAGAGCTAGGAAGCAAAGCTTCATATAGCCCGGAAGATTCGACACGGCATCGACATCCCATCTGAAACCACACATTGATCAAAGTAGGTTTTAACACATAGACTCAAGAAATCGATGGTTTCACTGGCTTTTTTTTCCGAACAATTGATCAGAAGCAAAGTCTTGAGGAACCTGTGTACAGCATCTGTGAATAGCTCCAATTCATCCAGATCACCATAAACGTCGTAGACATCATCGATGGTGGTCACGAGTGCGGTCACTTTTGTTAGCCCTTTACGGAGATTGCTAAACTGAGGCTCATAAGCCATTCCGACTGTCCAAAAGAAGCATTCCATTAGTCTATCTCTTGCGAAGCTCAACTTGTTTGCCAGGCTAACAACATCATTCCACCATCTGCAATTGATTCACGTATGACAAGTATTAGTGATCCCTAATTCGCCAGCAATATATCCATCAAGGCTGATAGCAATTGAATTTAGCAAGACAAACTCTAAACTTTTTTCCGCGTTTCCACACCGACCTTGACATCTCCTGAAGATCTCTTTGGAGGATAGATTGCACCATGTTGAAATTGTACATGGCCAGTTCGAGCAGCCGACGGTCTGCGTCTCTACGTGCGGCATAAGCTTTGATGGACCGTCGAGCTTCTAGCAATGGCATTCTCTGGTGCAGGGGCAGTCCCGACCCATGATTCACTCGAAAATATTTGAGATCTCTGCTGACATCAGTACTGTTAAAGTGATTGAGATGCTTGACGGCGAATGCCTTAGCCTCGCGCAAGAGATCTTCTTCTTCGAAGGCCAAATGTGAAGCTTCATATAAACTCAGCATCCCTTCAACGTCATGGCTGAGGCTCTCCATAAACGTTCCTTGTTCGTCCATAAAAATCCGGAAAACATCTGTTTGTTTTTTCCCATCGAGATTAGTCAGTCGCGGTCTATTTTGGTTATTAGATAGAACTTTAGTATGGTCAAATTACCTTGAGAAACTTCGAAACCATTTTGTCTTAGAATCCTAAAGCAGAGAGCTGTCCCATGAAGGGTCTTCTTGTCTCTGTTCATGCAACCTTCATCCAGAGAATGGTGGTATCTGTGAAGAGCTCTCATTACGTCTTCATCAAAGAGAAAGCTTAGTCCTAGTCGTTGAATGTCATCGACAAGAGCGAGTACGGTCGAGAATTCGGCATTTTCGTCATTCATGGCGCTTCTCACTTCTTGTTCCAGCATTTGAACTCTTTCATTTTGCTGCTTGACCTGCGTGAGGAACCAATTTGTACAATTTATAACTCAGTTTGAGCCGAAGAAAAGGTAAAAGAAAAGCTACAAAAATTACACGGTCTGTATAGTTGATATTAATTCAAGAAAACATTATGAGTATTGGATATTTGTGCAGTGTAATCAAAATTTTACATATCTCATATCCATCACCACTATCTTATATGAATAGTAAGCTTTGAGCTTGTTTGGCGCTACCATTGTCAATCGAAGTAATGGAAAAAGATAAATTTGACGGAACCTCAAAAGCTGGACATGGGACCTCGACCTTTGACCTAGAACTACAATTCGGACATGGGACCTCAGCGTTTAGAAACCGAGAAGAGGTCCCCGGGATTTGTCTCTAGGAAACAGACCTCGGCTTAGGGACATCGATTCCCGAATTGACCTCACGGGGCGAACCCAAACTCGGGACTTCAATCCTTGAAAGTGGAATCATGGGGGCTAGACCAGAGACCTTAAGGTTTGGTCCTTGGCTCAGGGGATATGTTCATGTTTGTATAATAACTAATATAGTCTCAGCTTCTTTTTCCGTTCGTCTAGAGGTATCATCTCGATGGAGAACAAACAAACTGTGGCTTATTACCGCATGACGTTGGTCACGAGTCGGCAGGGACTGAAGGTAATTGTAAGTCCAGAGAGTCGGCTGATACTGGGGCGGTCTTCGTCCTCCTTGAGAAACACCAACTTTGGTGCTTGCCGAACACAGGACCTGACCATGAATCTTCTTGGAGCAAACATTAGGAAGAGAGAAAAGTTGAAGTGCCATTATCGCATGTAAGTGAAGAAGCCGGTGCTCGATCGAAGGCACTGCCTTCTTCGACTGCAGACAGTCCGACATTTATACAACCTCATACCTATCATAGTATTCAACTGTGCTGAGATTCTTTCGGTCGCTTGATGACGAATGCCGTGACATGGGAGGAGGGGTAAAAGGCATCTCCCATCGAAGAAAACAGTGTTCTCTGTGAAGTTGCAGTTTCTGGACAGGTACATGTTAGATTATGTCTCGAGTTTGAGTCTGTGAATAAAATCCGACCCAAGATAAATTAAAAGAAAATCTGAAAGTTGAACATATGTGGATGTCCACCGTGGAAATCTATATTTCCTGTTCAATTTTGGAGTGCAAAGCGATGTTAGAATTTTGATAGTGAAAAATAGACTTCAAAAAAGGAAGGTGGATATTTGGATTTCAAAGTTGCTGATTTGTTGAGTTCAACAAAAGTTCCAGTAGATTACGGAAATCAATTTCCGTATAAATGTTGGTCCACAAAATAGGAAAGTGGACTTGGTTTCCTTCTCTAACTCAACATGTGTCAATAAAGGAAATAACAGAAGTCCAACATTTAGTGGGACTCGGCAAAGGGCAATATATATTGACTAATATATATATGCACATAATAAAGCAAGGGGATGCTTGTTTACGTAGACTTGAAGTGCCGAAGTCACGGTGGCCGTTGTAGATGAATACGCGAAGATTCTTGAAGCGCTCTTTCTAAGCGAGTGTTTGGAATGAGTTATTCTTGTGGGTTCTTGTTCGTGAATTACATCCAAGAGAATTAGCGTTCAAGTAATTAAATTCTTGTTATAAGAATTTGTGTATAATTCCTTCGTGAGATTGAGAGATTATTTCGTGAGTAATTATGAGGCTAAACACTGCGTGACTTATTGAGTGTAATTGGGGCCTGAGAAACACCGAGAATGTTTGAGTGACTCAAGTGTGGTTATAATCTTCGTTGCATCGCTTGATCTATAGTGAAATTTCGTGCTGCTCTCCCCATGGATGTAGGTCACTACAACCGAACCACGTAAATCTGCTATTCGATTTTTTTTCTTATTCTGTCAATTTTATTATTTAATCTCTTGCTTCCTATTGACACCTATTTTTTCAAATTACCCAATTAAATTACATAAAATTTAGGGGTTAATGTCTTTAATTCCCAAAACAAAAAAACACTTTTTATTTAATTGCATTGCATATAGAAATTAGACACATTTGCATTATTATAATGTATTTTTCTTTTTCTTTTTTTCTTCTTTAAAAAAAATGGAGCAGAACCGGGCCGGGTCGACCCGGCCTCCTAGTCCTTCCCCTAGCTGGGCCTGGCCCAGCCCCCTTCTTTTCCTCTCTTTTTCTTTTCCCGCTAGGCCTGGCCCAGCCCTTTCTTCTTCCTTCTTTCCCCAGCCTAGCCTCCCTCTCTCCTCCTTTCCTCTCTCCTTCACGTTGGACGCAGGATAGCCGGCAAGGAAGCCGCTCCACCATGCGAAAATCAGCCCCGAAAGTCAAGGGGACAAGCAGAGGCTAGCGGAGCAGAGCGAAGCAGAAATTGAGTGGTGGAGAGTAGGCAGAGCAGGTAGCCTGCTGCCATAAAAGCCGAGGAAGAATAGGGGAGAGAGGGGGGATTCGGTTCTGGTGAAAAAAAGAGAGCAAGGAAGGAGTCGGGGCGGTTTTTGGGGACGAGCGGAGAGAGAGGGAGCTTCTGGGGGGGCCACCGTGCCTCAGTCACCAATCCTCGCCGCCGAGCCGGGGGCAGCGACACACAGAGAGAGGGCGGAGGCGGCCACAGTAGGAAAAAAAAAACAGAGGGGGTGCTCTGTTTTGGAGAGACCGAAAGCGTGAGAGTTGAGCCGACGGAGAGAGCTCGAGCGTGAGACCGAGAGTGAGATAGAGCGAGATAGAGCGCGAGGGAGCTCCTCCGGCGACCGCCATGCCTCCGCCGTGGCCGACGTGCTCCCCTTTCTCGCGGAAGGCCTTGCGCCCACCAAATGTTCGACAAAACGCCTAGTAGAGATCCGGTTTTTTTTTTTGCCGTCTGTTTTGGCCGGCGTTGAGGTGTCCGGACACCGTCACACACAGTTGGGGAGCCACCAAGGCGGCGCCAAAGCGGGTGCACCGCCAGACCCAGACGGACAACGCCGTTCGTCTCGGTCGTCCCCGTCGAGGCCCTTCACAACAGGGGAAGCGGGTCCGCCGAGCAGAGAAGTCGGGCCCGGCGATGGTGTTCGTCGAGCCGGCGGCGACACGGGCGGAGGAGCGCCGCCGGGTTCGGTTCACGGCGGCGAGGCGATGGTGGCTCGGGTGCAGGGCGTCGGCGTACGGCGTGGCAGGTGAAACGCCGTAAACGCTAGGGCGAAGCCGCGGAAAAAGAAAAAACATAGGGGAGTCGGGTCGTCGGATCCGGATTGTCCAGGACCCGAGTCAACGACCTGGGTTGACCCCCGACCCGGTTCGAATCCGGAGATCCGACCCAGGTCAATGCATATGGGTCGGGTCTGTTGACCCGGGTCGGTTATGCCCGGCCCGGATCCTCTGACCGACCCGGTCTAATATTGTATTTTTAAATTTTTATTTAAAAATATTATTTTAAAAAAAAAATTAAAAATAATAAATTTTTTATTTTTCTTTTAAAATTAGAAAATAGTTTAGAAATTAGTATTTTTTTGAATAATTTTTTAAATTATGTGAATTATTTTATTAATGATCATGTTTAAATTAAATAAGCCTGGAGGGCTATATGGTAATAGTTTGCATGTTATTTTTACTGCTATTGTATTATTATTATGCATATTATTTCTAATTAAAATATAATTGCATAATTTGTCATACTTTGAATGTCGTCTTCCTAGTTAGGGTTAGAACCCTAAGCTGCATATCTAGTTTAACTGATAATCGTTAATGGTTGTGCACTCAGTTGATTACCTCACATGTTAGGAGATAGGTCATAAAATCAATCCAAATTGCCTGACAAATATTTTCTGAAATGAACAGGGTAAAAACGAATCGAAAGGGCAGTAGTTACCCAACTAGTGTAATTAAGTTCCCGAACTTATTTAATCTCTGGTTTATAAGAGTAGAGTGATTCTTCTATCACCTTACTTGAGTTTCTAATCGACTCACCTTAAACCGATTAATGGCGATTCCTAGATAAAAATTACTTGCATGTTAAAAACCTAAACCTAAGTCACGATATGGTATGAGCTTAGGAGAGCCCGAATTAAGTCCCAGAACTAGACTTAGCGCGTACCAGACGAAACTCCTCTATCTTTAAAACCCGGAGGTCGGTCGCGACACTTCCGCAACAGGACGTATTTAGCATTTTCTGATAGTTCCTGTACTCCTGACCTCAGCATCCGACCCTCCTCGACTTGGCCTCTTTGTGCTCTATCTATCGTCAATAATGGGGAAAGCAGAGAGAGAAAGGAACTGTCGAGGCTGGTTTGTGGTCTCTTTTCTCTTATTTTCGATCTGGTATGGTTTGGTAGAGCGTCGCATCTGCAGCATGCAGTACGAAAATCACTTTGAAGATGTTGAAAGCAAGCCAGAAGAAGCCCTCTGGCGAGATAAATTCACGTTTTAAGCGGATGTGTTTGATTGATGCACCTGGGGAGAAACATGCGAACGACGATCTCAGAGCTATAGATGGTCTTTTGGAACTTCAGGAGAAAAATCTTTTATTTCATGGAAAGCCACGAGTATGTAGATTTCATGGAAAGCCACGAGTATGTGCATGAATTATACTAAGGACTTACCAGATTACAAACTTCTGTTTTAATTTCACACAGTTTTTGTCCTCTGTTCAGGTTGTCAGATTTAAGGTAAAGACCGACAGATATAAATCAGAAGAGACAGGCTTGTGCCTCTACAGCACTCAAAGAAAGACTAACAACATGTATTGCTCGTTAAATTTGGACTAGCATTTTCGACCAAAAAGAAATTCGACTAGCATAAATTTAGACGATTACTATATTTCATATATAGCTTCTCATTAACTGATGAGTAATTACGGCCATTAATTGCGACCACCAAAGTTTCTTCTTCTTTTTTTAAAAAAAAAAAGGATTGACTTTCTTATTGCTAAAGAAGCCTTAAATCTATTGCATTGATACCAATTCAGTTCAAAACTCTTCAATTTGACAAATTGAATCCAAAACATTTTCACATTTGTACCAATTCAGTCCATCCAGCCAATTTAGTATGGAAATTGTTGACATGAATGTCGGTCGTCCTATGTAGCACGGTCGGCGCTGACGTGGACATTTTTAATAATATTCTAATATTTTTTTGAATTTTTTTCACAATTTTTTGTTTTTTTTTTGTTTTTATTATTTTTTCTTTCTTTCCTACTTTCTTTTCCTTCATTTTGGCCGGAAAGGGTCGCTGACCACTAGGCGAAGGCCAGCAAGCCCTCGCCCTCACCTGCGGCCGACCCTAGCCTAGATCGGAAAAAAAAATTGGAAAATTATTTTAAAAAATAAATATTATAAATATCCATTTCAGCGCCGGCCGTGCTACATAGGACGATTGGCATCTATGTCAGTGATTTCTGGCCTGAATTGGCCAGGTGAACTGAATTGGTACTAATGTGAAAATGTTTTAGACTAAGTTGATCCAATTGAAAGATTTAGGACTGAATTAGTACTAATGTAATAAATTGAGGACTTTTTTGGTACTTTTCCCTAGAATCTTCTCTCCCGAAAATAGTCTTCTAGTCCGCATCTCAACTGATGCCAATATTTGTGCAACAGACACGGCGTCATTTAGTATAAAGATCAACCTTAATTAAGATTTATCGAAAAATGTTCAACTATAATTAAATGGATTAAATAAAGTGCATACTGACATTAGAGTAACCTGTACATTGAGTGCCCCTAGATCAGTTAGTATTGTGGGATCCACCTACTTTATATATGGATCCACCATACTCGACAGTTCAAACGAACTAGGATGCATACATCCAGTCCATCCAATAATTTTTTCCCATGTTGTCATGTATGTAAAATTTTCCTTCACCGAAGAGAGGAAATTATTTTCTGCAACTAAATTAGTTCAAAATCC